ACCCAGGGCCTGCCAAGTCCCCAGCCTTTGTTTAAGAGCCATGGGGGAATACAAGTCCTCAGTGGGCAGGCTCATGTCCAAGGCCAAGGTGAGAAGAAGAGGTTGTGACATGCTTTCGAACTTCTGGTCACCTCAGTCACTCCTTCTGGGGAGGAGAAAGGGAAGGTGTGCAGAGAGGCCTGAAGATAATGTCAGAGCTGCCCCCTCTCGCCCCTCCCCTGCAGAACCATCGGGGGCAGCCACCCTTTAGGATTTGTGCCACATCGTTGCTATTACATTTCCTTCCTTTTAATTCTCAGCTCAATGGTAGACTGCCCGCCTGGGCTCCTGGAATCCATCCCCAGAACTGCGCAAACCAACCAACCAACCAAAAAACAAGCCCCAAGCCCCCATTGGCAGTGCATGGACACAGGCTCCTGATAAAAAGAAGTCAGCTGCTTCCCTAAGCCTAGTCCCCAGCCCAGGGACAATATTTCCTTTTTACCTATTTTTTTTTTCTGATCGTTTTCTTTACATCTCTTTTATTTCTTGATTTAGCAGATGGAGCTATTTACAGCGCAAAACTGACCCTCCACCTCCACCTGAAGCTGAGGGTGCCCTTTGGAATAGAGCTCAAATGCCTTCCCGGGGCTCACCACGCCTGCTGCTTCTGACCCTCTGCTACCTACCTACCTACCTTTCTTTCTTTTTCTTTTTTTGTGGTGCTGGGGATTGAAGCCAGGGCCTGGTCATGCGAGGCAAGCGCTCCACCAACTGAGCCACAGCCCCAGCCTCTCCTGTCTGAACTTTCTGTACTTTTCGTTTTTTCTTTCTTTCTCTTGGTCATGTGCATTTTCAGTTTCCACATCTGAAGAATGCCCACGTCCTCGTATTTGTGCCCTTGTGCAGTCCCTTCTGGGATGTGGCCGGGTCTCAGTGGCTTGCTTCTAAGGATAGAATATGTCAAGATTGACAGGATGTTGCTTTGTCGGGTGGGGAGGTTACAGAAAGGCTCTGGTTTCTGTCTTGCTTCCTCTCTTGCTCTCCTACTGGCTTGTTCTAAGAGAAGCCAACTGCCCTGCCAACGGCCCTAGGGAGAACAAAGGACCAAGTCATCTCAGCAACAGCTCATAAGGAACCRAACCTGCCGACAACATGTGAGCTGCCCTTGAAGTAGATTCACCCCGAGTCGAGTCTTCGGAGGAGACACAGCCCGGCCTGCCACCTTCATTGCTGTCTTGTACGGGACCTTGAGCCACAGGACCTGGCTAGCCCCCAATCCTGGCCAGCAGAAGCTGAGAGCATACATGATCCTGGTCCTAAGCTACTAAATTTGGGGTTCATTCATTACACAGAAATAGATAACTAATGCAACCATTATGCTGTCCATTTTTCTGTTCAGTCATAGAGTTTTTAATTCCCACCTTAATTCCTCCTTCACCAAATTGTGTGTGTGTGTGTATTATTATATTCAATAACATTTTTAATAAATATATTTATTTATATATTTATTTTAAAAACATGTAACAAACTGAGGCTTCCTTTGGTTTAGTTTCTGTGCCCATAAAATCAAATACGAGTGTGGGACTTGACCAGGAACCTAGGGTCTTGCAAATTCTAGGCAGGTGTTTTACCACTGAGTGACACCCCCAGCCCTCCCTCCCTCCCTCCCTCCTGCCTCCCTTCTTTCCTTCCGTCCTGAGGTTCTGGGGCTTGAACCCAGGGCCTTGCACATGCTAGGTAAGTGCTCTTCCACTGAGCTGCATCCCCAGCCCCCCTATTTTTTGTAAATATATTTGTAGTTGTAGTTGGACACAGTACCTTTCTTTTATTTATCTATTTCTATGTGGTGCTGAGGAACAAACCCAGGGCCTCACATGTGCTAGGCGAGCGCCCTACTGCTGAGCCACCACCCCAGCCCCTCCCAGCCCCCCTATTTATTCTTGAACATTTTCTGGTTTCATTTCAAACACAGTCACTGAAGTATCCCCAGTGTCTGTCATTATAGCTGTGTAAAAGGAAACCCCAAAGATTCGCACAGTTTACATCAGCAGTCTGCAGCAGCTGGCGAGAGCCGTGGGGCCATACATGCTTCTATTTATTTCCATGGAAATCTGGATGTGCTTTAGGCTCCGAAGACACCCAGACCGTGCTGAACACGGAGCGTGTACTGCTCTGCAAACCCAGATCCTCAGCTGCAGAATGAAATGTTTCTATTTTAAATAAACATCCCAGCCCCTGTAGAGTCAAATAAGCGCTGTTCTTCCAAGTGGACACCCTTCAAATAATTTCTGGACTCTTTCTTTGGCGAAGAGTACCAAAACACTGGGCCCCGTCCTGTAGCCAGGCCTTGTTTTTGTCACCCCTCTCCTAACCCCAGGCCTTACCTGGATGGTAAAAAACCCCTCACTTTCCCACTGAGCCTGAGAGTCCCCGAGGGCAGGGATTTTGTCTTATTCACTGATGTGTCCCCAGGATGGTCCCAGTCTTAGCACACACTAATAAATATTAAAGGAATCAGCAAATCGGTTGTAAAAGACTGTTGACTCTTTACAAAAATTAATCCATCCTCACGGGACCCAAATTTGTCACCCTTAATAAAGTTGAAGAGGTGACAATTATGGAGACCTTACCAAAGGTGGAACAGTGGACTTTGGGTGCGGGTACTGGGGATTGAAGTCAKGGTCCCTCAACCACTGAGCCACATCCCCAGCTCTATTTTATATTTTATTTAGAGTCARGGTCTCACTGAGTTGCTTAGCACCTGGCTGTTGCTGAGGCTGGCTTTGAACTCTTGATCCTCCCGCCTCAGCTTCCTGAGCTGTTGGGATTACAGGCGTGGGCCACTGCGCTGGGCAAACAGTGGACTTTTCATATCACATTGTTTCATTCTGTCCCTACAACAATCGTATGGGGTGGATACTGTCATTCCCATTTAACAGATGAGGAAACTGAGTTTCAGAATCATGAAATACCTTGTGCTAAGCCACATGGCTTACAGCCTGTTCAACGCCAAAATGTAAGCCTTTAAGCATTTTACTGTATCATTTTTCTTTATTTTATTTTTGTTAATTTATTAATGTTTTGGAAATTAAAAAAAAAACAAAATGTATACAAGAAAAAAATCAATCGTTTATAATCTTAATAAGCAGAACTTTAATTGATGTAAATCTTGGCATATTTTTTTTCTAGCTTCTTTTTTTTTTTAAAGAGAGAGTGAGGGGGTGGGGAGAGAGAGAGAGAGAGAGAGAGAATTTTAATATTTATTTTTTAGTTTTCGGCGGACACAACATCTCTGTTTGTATGTGGTGCTGAGGATCGAACCCGGGCCTCGCGCATGCCAGACGGGCGCGCTACCACTTGAGCCACATCCCCAGCCCCCTAGCTTCTTCTTTTTAAAATTTCTCTACCTATTTTGTCAGAAATGTTTGGAAGACTGTGCCAAAGGTCCGAAAGCCATTTTAATGAAAAGCAGAGTAGAGTTTTGCATCCTGCAGCAACAAATGTTGGGACAACTGCTGTCTCCCACGGTGGCAGCAGGTGAGTCTGGGTGTGTGTGGTCTCCCCAGGCAGCAGCACCTGGCTGGAAAAGACTTCCAGCGAAGGCAGACTTACCCGCCCACTTCCTGTCCTTCAGGGTAGCAGTCAGCTTTCTGTTACTGTGACAAAACACCTGAGGTRGTCAACTTTTTGAAAAGGAGGAACGGTTTATTTCGACTCACAAGATTCAGAGGTTTCAGACCAGGGTCGCTTGGCCCTGTTGCCTTGGCAGGAGTTCATGGCAGAGCGGGTCTATTGACTTCATGGCMGCCCGGAAGCCAAGAGACAGACAGGAAGCAGGGAGGGGCTGGGGGACCCCAGTGGCCCCACTCCCTCTAGGTCCCACATCTCACAGGCTCAACCACTCCCAGCAGCACCTTGGGACCAATCCTTCAACACGTGGGTCACTGGGTGACGTTCCAAATCCAAATTATAGCATCCAATTATTACTTCCCTTTCTTGACYAAAGGAACCTGAGTTCTATTTTTATCCCACCCACGGAGCTGGCCCCAAGGTCAGTTCTTCCTGGAAGGACACCTGGAGCTGTCACCACCCCCCTCCAGAGGACCAGCCTTGACTCCTTCCCTATTCAGTCCTGACCTTCGTGTGTGTGTGTGTGTGTGTGTGTGTGTGTGTGTGTGTGTGAGTGAGAGACGGGCCCTCCATGGAGCTCCTCACCTCCAGGACACATCATGGCCCCCACGGTGCCACCCACACTCGGTACTGCCCGGACGGCAGTGTGTATTTGTGGGTTCTGTTTACACTCCTCTTTTCCCGTCAGACTGATGCTCAAGGGCAGAGACTGTGTTTTAGATATTTTCCTCTTTGCATTATTTAGCATATTCGGTGTATAAAACCCTCATAAATAAACACATCAGCTGTGGGGAAATGCTCGGAATCAGGCAGACTTGGTTCAGATTCCAGCTCTGCCACTGACTAGCTCTGGGYGTGTGGCTCAAGTCCTCTGAATCTTGCCTTGTTTATTGATAAAGTGAAGGTGATAATCTTGCCCTTTGGTTTGATAAATGAGGGTGTAATGGGTCCATTGTGGTACACACCTCGCTCGGTGCATGGCGAAGTCCACAGAGCTTCTAGAACATAGGGGAGGTCAAGGGCCCTGGATTCTGTGCCGAGCTCTGCCATGGTCCTAGAATGAGAGCTCGATTCTCTGAATCCCAGCACCCTCATCTGTGCGAAGGGGAGAYAGCCAGCTCCCACAGTTGTTGAGCATTTTCTATGAGAAATAACACACACGAAAGTCAACGACTCCCAGGAGGCCCCGAGAGGAAGCTTTGGGGGGTTGACCAGGCTCCCTTCACGCCCTTTGGAATCTCAGCTGCAGGCAGCAGGTGGACAGCGTCCAGGGCTCAGGTCCATGCTGAGCCAAAACCAGACTCTAGAGATGGTGTCCTCGTTGGCTTTCCGTGACTATAACAAACACCCGAGATGATCATCTCATAAAGACAAAAGGTTTATTTCGGATGCTTCAGTACATGACTGGTTTGTCCCCTGACTTTGGGCCTATGGAAAAGCAGCACATCATGGCAGGAGGGGGTGCCAGGAGCAAAAGCCTCATGACAGGAAAGCAAAAGAGAGGAAAAGACTGGGCTCCCACAGTGCCCTACAAGGTCATGCCACCCCTGACCTGAAGGTCTCCCACCTTAAAGGTCTCACCCTCCCTCAGCAGTGCCACAGGCTGGGGACCAAGCCTTTTAGACATGGGCTTTTGGGGACAGTCGAGGTACAAATGGTAGCAGATGGAAGAGAGGCACAATTTTAAAGTATCTGCCTTCTCCCAAGTAGACTGTCCAGGTCCTTCTAAAAGGGACAGATGGCCCTGTGCCTGTGAAGAGCTGCAGCGACAGAAAGCAAACACATCTGTGCAAATCGGGCTGTGGGTGACAAGCAGAGCCGCTGCAACAGGCCAGGACCTCAGGCTGGGGCAGCGTCCAGGCGTGGAGCTTTAAAGAGGGCCATGGGAGGGAAAGCCAGGGACAGGGCGCTCTGACCCCAGGGTGGACAGGGYGCAGGAGGGCTCCTGCCTGGTGAGAGAAGCCCTGTCCCCTCATGGTGCTTGAGTGGACTTTGGAAAAGCGGTCCTCCCAGGCCCCTGTATGACGGGACCCCGTTTGGCTGGTGTCCTTAGGTCAGCAAAGACATCTTTAGTAGGTTTTCTGGGTGGCTGTCCCCTTAAGCAGCTGTGGGAACCAGGCCCTCCTGGACAGGGGGTGTTCTTCGGCCTTCACTGGATCTTCTGCAGGTCGTCAGGCCCAAAGGAAGCGGGCAGCAGCTCCTGGACGGACTTGACCACGTACGTGCCRTCCGGCTTGGTCATGTACACGGCCCAGTCGGTGCCAAACTGGAAAAGAGACAAGGCCAGGCTGAGGGAGGCAGGCGCTGAGGGCTGAGGGGGGCCTGGGTTTCCGTCTGGCTCTCACTCACTGCCCCACATTCCTCTGGGTGCCTTAGTTTCCCCATCTGTAAAATGGTAATGGCAGAAATTGTGCTCGACACATAGACTTTGAGAGGCCCAAAGGCCCGGGGCGCATGGCTGGTGGGCAATGTGTCCTTTGAGGGCTCACCCATCTAACCGCCAGAGGCCGGCTGCTTTCTGCTATGATGAATGACAGCTAAGGCCTGCTTCCYTCACTGTTTGTCCTTTACCCGTCGGGACAGGTCACATGCCTGCTTCATGATGCCCTCGGTAGTGCRCTTGCCTTAGTATCTACTCTTGGAGGCAGGTGCTGTTAGGCCCATTTTATAGATGAGGAAACCGAGGCTTACAGGGAACAGTGAGCTGACTCCCCCTCTTTCTTGTGCACTGTGAGGAACAACATTTGCTTGCTGTACAACCTCAGGCAGAGGATAAGTCTTTAGGGCTCAGCGTCTTGATCCATGAGACAGTTTTAGAGATGGCAGAATGTGGTAGGCAGGTCAGTAGGTGGGAGTTAAGTTGATGGTGGTGTCATGGAGACGGTGTGCATCAGCAGACCCAGGCTCTCCCTGGCCAGGTGTGGTGAGATTTAGAGACAATTCMGGGAAAGACACATAGTATGTGCTCAGTTAAACGCACCCCCTTCGGCTAGGTCACGCTGGCTGCCAGCAACCGCTCATCGCAGCCTCCATTTCTGTCTGAACCACCAAGTATTCAGCAGACACCATCAATCTTCTGGCTTTTTCAGAACTAATGTTTTAAGGGAGACCGACAAGGGCCACCGATGCCGGCTCATCGTGGGCGGGCCCTCGGCTTCTCTGGAAATGGGGCTGATGGCATCCGTGTCTCTCCTGAGCTCAGGGCGAGGGCCAAACAAGCTGCAGTGTTCAGAGCGGTTGATGACATGGCGCCAGAGCTCAAGGGCCGAGTGTGTGGGGCTCTGAGCTGGTGGCTTTCACCTYTTGGGATTCCAAAGGACACATCCTCTTTGAGAATCCACAAGGCTCACGGCCACTCCCCAATGTTCGTATAAACCTCAAAAACTCCCACCTGGCCCAGATGAAGAGCCCGCGGTCTAAGCCACCCCTGTGGTTTTAGAGTTGGCGGAATCACTGCCTTCTGACGGCGGCTTTTGTAACACACACATCACAACCCAGACGCTCCTTTTTACAAATGTCCCTTCATTCTCTTCTTTTTTCAGCGTTTAAAAAAAAATGTGGCAACATGGACATAACGTAAAATTTGGCTTTTGAACCATTGTTAGGTGTACMATTCAGTCCCTGCTGTTTCTGGAATMAAATCGCCCTCCGACTGGTGCGATYGGGCCCCATSTGGCCCCTGCCCAGGCCTYTGACCCCGCGTCCCATSGTCCCCTCACTCCACTGCCCAGGTCCTGTGCTTCTTGCTGTGGATCTAACTCACCAAGAGGTGACCTTGTTGGTCTCTGGAAGACTCCCTGAACCTTCCCCTAATTTCTCGTGACTTGGATTTCTGCTCAAAGGCCTTCCCCTAGAGAGGCCCTCCTGGCCACCTGGAGCAGGGTGGACCCCCCCTCTGTCCCAGGCCAGTAAGTACCACGTGGCCTCTGTGTAACTGCTCGGCTCTGCTCTCCAAGGGACAGGGACGGTGGCCCAGGAYGATACATCAATGACGGGCACAGAGGGTTCCAATAAAACTTTATTGATAAAGACCAGTGGCGGCCAGCTGTGGTCCACCGGCTGGYGTCTGCAGCCCCTGCTCTGGAGTGTCCCCGCTGTCACCTGACTCYGTTTCCTGCAGTGACTCACCTTGCCCTCTCCCTCTCAGAACCTTTCTTGGACGCCTCCTTGTTTATGTCCACCTGGGCCCCGCGAGCTCTCAGGAGGCAGGGCCTGACTTGCCTTGTCCCCAGCACTGGCTCAGCACCCGTGACACCCACTCAGGAAGTATTTGCGGGAAGAAGGGGCCGTTGCAGTGTCTCCTGCGGGTTGGGGAACCCTGGGGCCACTTGGCGGGGCTCCTGCGGCCTGGAGGCCAGAGCCAGGGCCTTCTGGCGGGGACCGGCCGGGAGGGGGCTCTTACCTCTCTCATGACCTGCCGGCAGGCCCCGCACGGCGAGATGAAGTCATCTTGCAGGTCACTGGGGAAATAGAGATGGGAAGGCAGATGAGTGTGTCCCGCGGCATAGGACAATGGCTAAGATTGAGGCCCTGAGTTCCTGCCCCATTCCAGGTAGGCCGGACCCCTGGGCAGCTCCTGATTCAGACATGCGATGTCCCAGAGGCTGGGGAGGCGACTTAGTGGCCTCCCACACCCTCTGGGGTTCCAGGGGTTGAGGAGAATTTGACTCTGGCCTTCATGAGATGGCTCAGCCCAGCAGGTGACAGAAAGATGGATATTACTTCAAACAACATGTAGTTAGGACACAGAGTAAAAGGGAGACAAGCCCTGCCACCAGAGTGAAAGTGGATATTTCACAGAGGAGGCAGCATTTGACCCTGTCCTTGGAGGAACAGTAGAGGTCATACATCGCCATTTAGTGAGCAACTRCTACCCCAGGCATTCGACATACATCATTTCATTTAATTTTCAGAGTAACCTGTGTGTCAGAATGGTCAATTTACAGGTGAAGAAACAGGGTCAGTGAGATGAAGTGACAGAGATGCTGTTCTGAAGCTGGGTTTTCTCTATGTTGTAGGCAAAGGAACTAAAGAATATGTGCAAAGGCCCTGATGCATGAAGAACAAGATGCATGAGACTCAAAGAGTAAAATAGGCTCGAATCTAAGAAAGCCTGGAGAGGAGGGGCTTAGAGCCAGGGACTGCCTGTGAGAATTTAAGCACCTACAGCCAGCCCTCCGGTTCTGAGCAGGACAAAGATCACCTAAAGTTTAACCGGGAAACTCGAAGCCTGCTGGAGCGCCAGACCTTGAGCCAGCAGCAGCATCATCTCGCCCGCTGCACCCTGGCTTTAAGATACACCTGCAAGAACAAGGGACTTCAACTTCTTAGGTTTTCAGCTCCTCCTTTTGCAACCAACCTCTGCGGGAACCTGGAGTCATTTTAACCATCCTCATTTCTTGGGGAATGAAGTCATCTACCTCGTGTAGGACCGTGAGAAAACAAAATGAGGTGTGGCGAGATGTGTATGCGAGGCTCCTAAACTTTAGTTTGTGCCCACGTTGTCATCGCCTGTGCTAGTTCCTTGCATCTATCGTCACTGTCGTGGGCTCAGTACCTTATCACATTTCATGTGTGCTATGTATTATTTTATGACTCCTCTTATTCTGTGTTAACAATATTTGTTTAACGTGTGCCAAGAACGTGCAGAGCGTCCTGCAAAGCACCCTGAATGTATTGCCTCGTTTCAGACCAACATTTAGTGAGCACCTGCTATGTGTCAGGCACTGTCATTGGTGCTGGGACGAAGCAGTGATTGAGACAGACTCACTGTGCTCAGGAATTTACAGTCTAGGCAGGAGAGCCAGACCACCCACCCGCCGACCAGGTACCAAGGGAGGTGGGATGGGTGCTATGAACAGAATAAAGGGGCTTAGGGGACAGAGGGTGCCATTTTATTTAATCTTCCTGATAACGACCTGCTCCATGGAAAGGCGGGGTCCTCTCTGAGCACTGTTCCAGAAGTCCATGGGAACATGAAAAGGCGCAGACCTGGCCCAGGAGGCCCCTGAGCCAAGTTGAAACCCTAGTAATGATCAGGAGACAGCTGTTGCACCATGGGCCTCTCCCATAAGCCTTTAAGGCTGGACTGGGTTATATCTGGCTTCGTTCCACCCACATAAACCAAGAACCTGCTCTGAGCCGGGCAGTCAAGGAAAAGGATCAACAAAGACAATAGGAAAGCCCCACCCTTCATGGTTGGGAGGGAATGAATCTGAATGTCCATGAGGTAACCAAGGCAAACAGTGGGCAGGGCCCTGGGAGAGGAACTCCAGGTGAAATTCAGCCTCCCTCCCATGACCTGTAAGACCTTATATGATCTGGCCCCTGCTGAGCTTGCCACTTCCTGTCTTGTGGCATGCTCTGTCAACTACCCCATGAACAGTTCCTTGAACTGGGTGACCTGTTAGGGCATTCAAGGGGGGCAAGCATGTATTCTATGGGAAAGTTAGATTGACTAGTTCAACTACTGAAAGTCACAAGAAGGTGTGACCGCAACGTAGTTCTAAGAATAACAATGGCCCTTGCTTACACTGTGCCTCTCGTTGGGGCACTGTGCCCAGGGTCTAGAGCATCTATTCCCCAACACCCCTGCAAGGGTGAGGGCTGAGCAGGGACCCTTATTAACCTACACGTTAGTTCATGACAGCTGAGGCCCCTGGCCTACGGCCACGGAGCTGGGACTGGAACCCAGAATCTGTTCACGCTACCTTTGGGGACCTTGCAGCCTGCTGAAGTAATAATGATGACTTCAAAACCGGAGTTTAAGATGGGGACATATTCTGCTCCAGACAGAAACCATCTCAGGAGACGCTGGGACAGCCTGTGGATAGATGTCACTCTCCCCATTTCATGGATCAGGTCAGCTCAGAGACCATGGCGCCCTGCCCGTGGGGGAGTAGGAGGCCTCGCTGACCCTGGAGCCCGAGGCTTACCCTTGGCTCCACATCCCTGCCCAGAGTCCCTGGAGGGCGGCTCCATCTGGACACTTCCTCCTGCTTCCCTCTTCCCCCTCGCCCCTCCCCCTGGCCTTCCTGCCTTGAGTTCTTGTGGTTTGTGCGACCTTGGTCACAGCTGAAGTCACCCTGGTCAGATCAGACAGCCTGGAAACCCACTGACCGTGGTGACTGCAGCTGGGACTCGGGCCAAGCTCATTCCTCTGCAAGCCAAGCCCACCCGGGCTCTGTGGGGGGACCCCTGAGCCTCTCCTGGGTGCAGTGTCTGTCCTTAGAGATCTCAGAGGGGCGCGGTCTGTTCAGCCTTGTCCAGTGCTCGAGGGAGAACTGGCGTTTCCCATCCATCCCCTAAATCCATGCTCTCAATTGATCCAACCATGACCACATTCCTGGCTTGGGGACACAGGCACAGGGAGAATCACCAGAGTAGGACAGTTGGGCGCGGGAGAAACGCAGGTTATGTGTAAATAAGGACATTTGCTAATCGTGGCTAGCAATGCCCAGTCGTGTTTAAAAGCAGATTATGACCAAGAGCAAAAGGCTTTTATCTGGAAAGTTCTAACGGCAAGGCTTCTGCCCCGTTATCTTTTTGTTGACTTTAGTTTCTCTTTCTCCAGGATATCATTATTTTTATGAATCAGCTTTGAAAGTTATTTCTTTGAGTTATTTCTCAAAGAAATCAGCTTTGAGTTATTTCTCTCTCTCTCTCTCTCTCTCTCTCTCTCTCTCTCTCTCTGTCTCTCTCTCTTTCATTAAGTGCAACTCACATTCTGATATTTGCTCATCTGCACAAAATGTTCCCGGCACAGCCTCATTTATTCTCCCGAAGCTGAAGGAAAGCCAGGTCAGGGCTCCGTCATGGGGGAGGCTCCGGGGAGCAGGGTCCTTTCTCCCTCGGTGTACCCGTGGCCGTCACCCAGAGAACAAACCTGGAGTGAGCTGGCCCACTCCTGGGCCAGCCCGTGGGAGCTTAGGGTCTGAGAAAAGCCACACTCACCAGCCTTGCTCTGGGCAGCTGCATGATGCTCTGTCCCCCGGGAGGACCACCTTGCCCGTGGGGTGTGACCCAGGCAGCCAAATCCCCCAAAGACCAAGGCTTGGTCAGCCATGGAGCCTCTTTCTGGGTGGGCTAACCTTTCTCATGTCATTAACTCGCTAGTGACAATCTCCTGTAATGTGCACAAGTGGACCAAAAGCAGCTCACCCCGGGTCATTCAATCAATGTCAAATGAGTAAAGAGGTCATTCAGAGGGAGCCCTGTGGCCACCGTATTTGGGTCCAGAGCCAGCAAAAACTCGGCCTGCCTGCCTTGAGGGTAGGTCCCCAGAACAAGGACATTTGTGTCTGGGGCACAGAGAGAGCTGGCTGGGGTTCTTCCTCAGCCAGAACCTGGGTTGGAGCCGGGTTCGTCTGAACCACRCTCCGTCCCCAGCTGCCACCTCAGCAGCTGGTCTCCCCATCCTGCTTCTGGTGCCCGGAGATGGGCGTGAGCTTAGGGCTGGGTTAGCAGCCACTGACCTCCTGGAACAGCCTGGCGCAGTGGGATGGCCCTGGAGTGGCACTCTGGGACTTGGGTTTTGTCCCAGCTCTGCCACTAACTCCCAGGAAAGTAGCTTGACTTCTCTGGGCCTCAGGTTTGGTTTTTCTGTAAAAGGGAACCTAAGCCTGGGTCCCTCCAGGTTTGGTCTCTGGGCTGCCTTTCTGGGTGCCCTGTGCCGTTGGAAGGGAACCTGCCCTGGTGTTAGGGTGGCACTCGGGGCTCACAGGGGCAGAGTCCACTTCTTACTTATCTCCTCACCCTCAGACTCAGCAGGTCCTGAACCCGTGCCTGGCACCGAGGTGCCCAGGAGTCCCAGGTGGGGCCTTGGCTGAAGGGCTGAAGGAGGGTCACTGTCTCTTGCCTCCCCCACTCACCTGGAGATAACAATGGCCTTGAAGTCCTTATGTCCCTCGGAGATGGCCTTTTGGATGGCAGTCCGCTCAGCACAGTTGCCCAGTGGGTAGACGGCATTTTCCACGTTGCACCCTTAGGAGAGAGGAGAGCCCGGTGATCTGTCCAGCAGAGCCACTTTCTGCTGCGGGTGTGCCGCGAGGCTGGCCCATTCCAGGATGGTGAGGGACCGGCCACTCCGACATGGCGGGAGAAGGAAAGGGCGATTTGACCTGGAGCCCTGGGGGACCCTGAGCCCATGGTGCAGTGGCCCTGCCCAAGACTACTCGCTGCCTTCATTTCCCCAGCGCCTCCCTCCTGGYGCAGCGGGGGACAGGACAGGCTGAGCAGCCTCAGCACCCTGCAGAGGTCAAGGTCAGGAGGTGCTGAAGCTAAGGAAGGTGAGGCTAAGGAAGGTGGGAGTGTGGCTCCGTGTGGCACTCGCCTAGCATGTGTGAGGCCACGGGTTTAATTCCCTGTGCCAAGAAAAAAAAATTAATGATAAATAAATAATAAATAAAAGTCAACAGAGCCCCAGGCCTGGATCTAAGAGTCGGAAACCCTGRGGTGGGACACCTGCAGTGGTTGACTGTTTGTGTCCTCCATCTTCATATATTGAGTCCCAATCCCAAAGTGATGGTCTTCAAAGGTGGGACCTTTGCAGAGGTGACCAGGTCACAAGGACCTAATGAAGGGGACTGGTCTCCATGGATTAAATAAGTGCCTTAAAAGGAGGCCCCGGAGAGCTGCCCCGTGCCTTCTGCCACGGGAGGACAGAGGCACCATCTGTGAGAAAGGGGGCCCTCCCCAGACACTGCCACCAGGGCCTCATCCTGGACCCCACAACCTCCAGAACCGTGGGCCGCCCCGTTCTGCTGTGTATAAATAAGCCATGGAGTCCTGGTGTCGTAGAGGCCCTGATTGGAAGCTCAGGGCTGGGCAATGTGTCCATTGCTGGTCACCTGCTGCCTGGGTTCAGCCAGGCTTCTCTGTGAGTCCTGTTGCAAAACCACCATCAAATCAAAGAAATCAACTAACAGAAAACTCCCAAGCTTCGCAGGAGGTGCCCAGGATGGCACCAGGTGGCGGGCAATCCTGGGGCCTCCCGTGGGAGGTGAGTTGTGAGAGAGACAGTCCTTCCCAGTGCCCCTCTCAGGGGTCCTCCTGGGGATAAGGAGCCAGGGATGCTCCCAGGAGACAATGTTGGCAGTGCCAGGTCGGCTGACTGGGAAATGCCCATCTTCAGGGAGCTGAGACCATGAAGAAGTGGCCCTGGGAGCCAGGCTGTCTCCCGACCTTTGGGACGTGGTGTATGTTCCTCATCACTCTGTGTAGCTTGCTTTCTTCCTGAGGCAGAGACATTAATTACTCCCCAATCTCCATTTCCTATTCTTCCTCTAAGTGATCCGAGAGACCCCCATTCCAATATGACTGACTCCCTTGTAGCACAGTGTGGCCATGTCATGACTGAATTTTGGCCAATAGGATGTGGCCCAAAGTGACAATGGGAAACTTGTGGGTTATGTTTTCTTTAATGAGATTCCTTACCTCCATTTCCTTTCTTTTCCTTTTCCATAAGCTGGAAGATGGGAGCGGATGGAGTGGGACACCATGAGGTGTATGTCATAGGAATGGAGAAGCAACACGAGAAAAGGGACTTGGGACCTTGGTCAATTCACAGAGCAGAGCTGCCTATTTGCTCTACCAATGACCTACTCTGAATTGTTATGTCAGAAAAAAACAGAATTCTATCATATTTGAGTCACTGTATTTTGAGACCTTTTTGTTATAGCAGCGTAGCCTACACTCAATGAATATAAAAAGTGAGATACAACTTTAACAAAAACATCTAAAGCTGGGCTTGGTGGCACACACTGATAAGTCCAGTGACTTGGGAGGCTGAGGCAGGAGCATCACACGTTTGAGACCAACCCTCAGCAACTTAATGAGGCCCGAGGGACTTAGCAAGATGCTGTCTCAAAATAAAAAGTAAAAAGGGCTCGGGATGTGGCTCAGTGTTTAAGTGCCCCTGGGTTCAATCTGTGGTACAAGAAAAAAAAAAATTGAACTATATGGCATTGGTTTGATGGTTGGGTGATATCAATGAGCGACACAGACACGGCAAGATGGCAGGCTCATGGCCCTTGTTCAGTCTGTGGCAGCCTGCCATAACCTGAAGGGCAGACTGCATTACCTCCCATTAATATTCCTCTACCTGGCAACGAGAAGGAGCCCTGTGGCCAGGATCTAATTAAGAGTGTCATTTGTTACCTTCCCACTCAGACTATTGTTCAGGTGCCTCAACAGCCAGCCCTGACATGCGGCAGCAGGAGGCCGGTTCTGGGAAACAGAGTTGGCAGGGTCGATAACCATGTCTGGAAGGGCCTTTTGGGTGTGGTGCTCCTGCACGGGAGGACTGGAAGCAGAGAGCAGGAGGCATCTGAGTTTTTGATAGAACTGAGTAGCCAAAGAAGGCTACGCTGCTGTAACAAAAAGGTCTCAAAATACAGTGGCTCAAATGACCATTCGGAGGCTGGTAGAGCAAACAGGCAAGTCAGGTCCCCAAGAGCCTAGGCTTGTTCAACCTAAAGAAACTCCTGAACCCCCAAAACACCACACGTGTGTGCACAGAACTGGGGGCCCCCAAAGGGAGCCGGCCATTCTCTCTAACACACATGTTAGATGAATGGCCAAGGAGGATAAAGACCAAGGATTCAAGAAGCTCCCAGAGGGCTGAGCCAGGGGACAGTGAAGAAGGGTCACCCCCAGGGCAGAAAGGGAAGGGGAGCGTGATCCAGGGCAGGAGGGCTCCACCCAGCGGTTTTCACTGATGTCCTGATGGGGGCCCCCTGTGGGTTTCCTGTTCTTCCCTTTGCTAACGYGAGATCTTACGGCTGCCGCCCTGTCCTGCTCCACAACGTACATTGAGGGAATGGGGACAGATGATTATTTGGTCTATGGACTGCTATTGCAGGCCAGGGACTAGTGACAGGCAGAGCCAGGCCGGGCTGGAGAGAGAGGGCTGTGGAGAGATCCGGCTCTGAGCTGGGTGCGGAGGTGGTCAGCGAGCCCTGCTTCCTCCGTGTTTGGCACCTGACCTCATTCCCAGCAGATAGTTCACATGGAAGCTGACATCTTTTCTCACTTGGCCTAAGGCTGAGCCCTGACCCAACCTGGCCAATCAGAGTTCTCTGGGTGGGACTTTGGTTCCTCTCTGACACCCAGTGTGGGCCGCCATGTCTCCATCCATCATGGGCGAGRTCAATACCAGACATGAAACGCACAGAAATGAACCAGTCCCTCTTGCTCCCCAGCGTGGTCCCGATCCCCACCACGCCTGCCTGCCCACACCTGCCCACGGCTCCCACCTCTGCTGACCCTGCTGAATGAGCTTGGCGGCAGGATGGGAAAGGCACCCTCCTCACACTCTGTCTGAAGCGCCTCCTGGGAGGGAATCCTGGGTCGTCTTGTGGTTAAAGGGAGGACTGGATGACCACAGGGGGAATTCAAGCCCCTTTAGAGAAAGTCCCCAATCTGGGGCCAGGGTAACAGCCCCAGGGACTGACCTCAAGTTCCCCTGTTGCTAGCTAATGTACCATTGGCGTTGCGGCTTGCTCCCCCTCTGTGCATTTTCCGATGGAAAATGAAACTTACCCATGCAGAGTAGAAAGGAAATTATGTTAGGTTCAGCTGTCAATCAAGGTGTCAATCAACCCCAAATGCCCTCCCTAAAGGAACTAGCACAATGCAATAAAAGCAAGCTCCGTGGTGTAGACAGGGCCTTGGGCTACCTCCTAGCTTGTTTCACTTCCGTTTTCCTGGAATGAACTTCTGGTTCCCCAGAATGTACTTCTGTTTTCAATAAACCTCTTCTCTGCCTGCCAATTCTGGCTCAATTCTTTTCATGGGACACAAAGAACCCTGGGACACCTGATAGCAACACCTGCTCTTGGCTTCTGCCTCTCCCAGGTTCATCCCTGCTGGCCTTCCTCTCAGGCCAGCAACCCTGGCCAGCCCTGACCTGTCCCTGACTCAGGCCTGACCCTTTTCCCAATAGACATGATTCACACAGATCTGGGGATTCCCTGATGAGTTGTGAAAGCAAATTGCCACATTTGGAGAAGACCCAGTCTCTTAGGACAAGGGCATGTGTCTGGTGGAAGTTCAGAAAGGTGACATTTAGAGCAGTCTTCCTTATCATGCGCAAAACATCTCCACCGTTAAGAGGAGAGCAGTCGTCCTGCTGGGAGCACCCTCCTGCCCGCCCCCCGCCCCTGTGACTCGGGTGCTTTGCAGGAACAACCCTGAGGTTCTATTGGGTCCTGGGACTCTTTGTTCTACTGGCTCTGAGAATTGGGAGAGGGACTGAAATTCCTTAAGGATCAATTGTCCTCCTTTGCAAAATGATAATGACAGGTATTGAGCCTCCCATGGCATATCCGTGCTGAAGTCCCATGTCATCAAATTGAAATTAACTTGTTATCAGACCTCTCCAGATGTCAGGAGAAACAATAGATTTCCCTAACGGGTCAGTTTCCACAGACACGATAATGAAGTTCTTGCTCCTTGCACACACACAAACGGTAACCTGAGGTTAACCTGGCGTCTCCCTGTCCCTGCCTGCTGTCGACCAGATGTTGAGCATCCCCCAGGGCCCATGTATTGAAGGCTTGGTCCCCAGGGTGGCCTACTGGGAAGTGCTGTGGACCTCCAGCAGGAAGTGTCATGGGAGGTCCTGAGGTCACTGGCATATACTCTAAGGGGACTGTGGAAACCGGGTCTCTTTCTGTTTCTTGCTGCTTCCCGGCTCCTGAGGGGGGTGGTTTATATGGCTACATGCTCCCGCCATGGTGGGTTGCCCTGGCCGGGGGGGCCCAAAGCATGGGACCATTTGATCTTGGAGCAGAATCTTCAGAATTGTGAACCAAAACAAACCTTTTCTCTTTGTAAGTTAATTTCCTCCCGTGACACAAAGCCGACCCACAAACCATTTTAGAAGAAAAGTAACTTTGAAGTGATCGATCCAATTTTTGTCTTTTTGTTTTGTCTTCATCCTTTCTCTGCCTATAAATCAAACCACCTCTGCATGTGAGAAT